CTTGGGGTGGTGCTCTTCATCCGGTATGGTTCCCTGTTAAGACTTCTTGTCATGCAAGCAGAGCAAACCTGTACATAGGGGCTGTTGCTACAACAATAATAAAATTCTGGAAAGTCTTAATGCTTTGCACAGATTTTTATAGTAACAGGGTCTTTGGTAAACTAGGACTGAAACAGACCACTCACTCTATGCAACCTTTTAAATATAACGGCAACAAAACATTCAAGAGGGAATTCTGGCAGCCAGGACAGCCAGTTCAGTGCAGCGGTAGGTCTTGGGCGGTCATTAAAAATGCACCAAACATGTTGGCTTGAAGGTACTGAGACAAGAGGTGTAACACAGCCCAGCTCAAAGCGGGGAGGGGTGTGGGCTGCCAGGAGCTGAGGACTGCACAAGGCTGGGTGTGTGCCTCTTTCCAGAGGGAGCTCCCGGGGTTGTGCCGATTTCACATTTTATTAAAACAGAGCTGAAGGGCTCCTGCCTGTGTAGCCGTGAAGCCAAAGATTTTAAAATTTTCTACTTCTCTTGCTATTCCGGGTCTCCTTGCCAAAAAATACCTTTGTGTTTATAAACACAATTCCATATTATTCTGATATCATCCTCTGATTTACTAGTTGCATCTGAGTGAGCGGAACTCTGTTTAATTCATTTGTTTAGATGTTCACACATGCAGCCCAATATAGCCATGACAGTTAGAGCTTCATTTTTCTGCTGTCACCCTTCCATTCTCTCTACTGAGCTCTCCCTGACTTTCATAAAACACCAGCCTGACTTCTGTGGGCAGCATTGCAGCATATACGGCACAGAGTCCCTTTGTGGGCTGGCCTTGCCAGTTCCATCGTTCTCACTCCAGTGAAAGTCTTAACCTGTGTACTGTGGCCACACACAACCTCCCTGTGGCTCTCCTCTCTGTGTGCCCTTACTCACTTGTGTTATTCCCCATGCCTTTGCTTCCCCTGCCTGGACTGCTTTTCCCCACTCAGCCTGCCCAGTGTACTACTTATCTTCAGAACTCTTGTTGTGTCACCTCTATAAACTTTTCTCTAACACCTTCCTCTGAATTCACCAGGGGCCTATTACACCTTCTAGTACCACATGTACTGTGGTGCACTGATGAAATGATTTTCACGTTTGCCTGGCATGTATTAGGTGACCAGGCAACATTTGTGAAATTGCACTTGGCCCCCCACTTGATGGGCTTCAAAGCAGGAATATTGTGAAAATGCTGTTCTAGGAATTTCATGGCAACTGAACAATCTGGAGTGAACAGGGCATTTAAAAAGAAATTATTTGGTACCATAACAAAACGTACAAATGCCAACTCTCAGGCAACTAATCCAGGCAAAATTCTGAAGCTTGCTTGGGCAAGAAAATTGTTTTAGCAAAGAAGAAACACACACACACACACACACACACACACACACACACAGAAGGAAGAAGCTTAGATGACTGGAAAGAGTACCCTTGCTTGCATTTAAAATAAACGACTAAAATGTACTAAGAAGTTGCCTTAGAGATAGCACCCAAATAGAGACACATAAATGCTACAAACATTTAAACATTCAAAAGAAAGGACATCTTACCCATCTTACTAATGAAGGCAGTATAGATGGAAGAAGCAGGTGCAGAATAAATAGAATGGAGGTGAGCAAACTTGGAAAAATGCTGTAATACTTTCACGTATTTTCTTTCACAAAACATATCTTAATGAAAATTTACCTAGAGCACAGGCTGTCTAAGCTCAGTATCACATGATTGAGAAACTCAGTGGACTTCATTCTGCTCCTCACCAGCAAGACCAACGCCCCTCTGCATCCTAACCTGCTATGGCTCTATGTAAGGGATCAGCATCTACCTATAAGCATCCGCCCTTCCCTATGGAAACACAGAAGTATATATTTATTTCAGCACGCGTTCAACTTAGAAACACTGATTACGAATGCAGCGTGGAAATGTGGACCTCTGGTTAAAGGTTCCTGTGTACTTCCTCCAGGCAGGCGATGTCTACACATTTCATACTCTTGTACTTCTCAGTTCCCACCTCTAAAGATACAAGGATGACATTTCTCCCTGACCTCTACCCACTGCAGGGAGGATAGAGGAGATGGGTTGGGGCCGATTATTAAACCCCAGATGTTCTGAAACAGAGAACAAACACTCATGGCAACTATCATGGTATAAACCCTGTTGCTGTTTAGGATTTAAAATTTAAGTTTTATTAGGAATGGGCTTTCTGGACACCGGGATGCTGTGGAACTCGACGCAGCAAACCCATCCAACGAAAGGAAAACAAGACACAGCCACTCAGCACAATTCGTTAACAAGATCTCCCTGACTCCCAGCCCTCTAACACTCACTGGAAAAAATGAATCTTGTCCTTTTTCTAAAGAAGTGTTTGTGCCTAGAAAGTTCCACAGAAACATTTCAGAGAAACACTTGAAGAGGGAGTAAGGCTACATCCTTCCCTACCCCTTACCCACAAACATTCTCTTTACAAGCTCATCACAGATCTTCTTGCCTGACTTCCTGGAGAAAGTCATAATTTCCTAATTTGCCTAACTATCCTGAATGTAATTTAAGGCTGATATTAGCAGTTTCTTGTTAGCCTTGAGAATTTTTACGAATTTAAAAAAGTGAAAGTTAAAAAAAAATGTCTCCACAACTTCAGCTTGATAGCATATTCATTAACTAAAAAGGAAAAAGGTGAAAGAAAAAAAAGAGTACTTTGCCCATATGATAGAGCAGATCTGTTTTCTCAGTCCTCCTGTTTCATTATTCATTTGTTGAATGAGAAAGTGACTTTAGTTGGGAAATAATTTCTTGAATGTGTACTTTGCACCAAGTATTATGCATGCCCTGAGGCAACATACAAACAAGATCCCTGTTCTCAAAGATTCCAATAAAGAAAAGGGAGTGCAAGGAAGAGAATTAAATCAGCACCTACTCTGCACCAAGTGGGAGGTTCTTATCAAATTTTCCTAATAACCCTTAAAGGCAGTAGATGAAACTCTCCCACTATGAACTGAGCCTCAATAATTTATCCAGAATCAGAGTTCAGAGTGGCCCAATTCCAAAATTTCCTTCAAACAGTTTTTAGAAAGTTGGGGGAAAAAAAAAAAGAAGAAAAAAAAATCACCCATGATCCCACTACCCTGATACAAAGCTATTAATATCTTAGCAAATTTCTTTCAAATTTTTGACATGAAAGTTCATTTTTAAATTTTTAAAAGTTTATTTCAGTTATAATTAAAGTAGATCGTACTGTGTTTCCCTGGAACTATGACATCACTGACTGTGAAATGCTCCATTATTCTATATAACACCAGAAATGAATTCGTTACCAGTTATATGACGCCACTGACTGTGAGATGTGTTAAAGCATCAAGGTAAAACAGTCTTAGAGCCAGTGACCTACTCTGTACTCTGAAGGTCTCGTATTCCGGCTGTCCACCTCCTACCCAGACGGCACAGGGGCTTCTGCCCAGGGGCCTGAGTCTCCTTCACACTGGACACAGCACTTGAGATTGCTGGGGGGTAGTGGCTGCAGAAAGAAGGGGGCTATACCTATCTCCCTCACATATACCTTGCCTTGTGTGTACAGCAGGCACTCAAGATCTAGGTTGAGCAAGTACATAACCAAAGCTTGAGAAGAAATGTATACACAGAAGATGGTAAAAATTACCTTAAGTCTGAAGAATGGTAGAGTGTAAATTTTGTTGGGGAGCAGAGGCTTTGTATGGCTACAATAGATAGATAGGAAATAGGGGAGATGGATGAGCTTTAAGCCAGAGCTGATGGCCCTCCCTGGCTTTCCGGTGCTTTCTCAAATTTCCTACAGGCAACCACTGTCTTTACATTACCTCCTCTTTGCCACTCAGGCTTCTCCTTTCAGGCTCTTATCCAAGTCTAGCTCCGCAACATTGCTGATCTGCCATCTTGGGAAATTATCCGCACTTAAGTTTGAACACCGCTTTAGATCGGATTGGAACACCACTCACTAATTTCAAATAATAACTCATAGAAAAAAAAAGTTCAGGTATTGGCAAAAGGCAGCTGGAGGAGCTGTATTTTTCAGAAGGCGCTGAAATGCTTAGTCTAAATAGACCACAGCCCTTCTGCTTGTGTAGAAGATCCAACTGCCCTAGGAAGCACAAAGGCTTTCAGTTCGAGTCCATAGGATTTGGCATTTCAACTTCCTGTGGAAGTCTAGCAGGATATGTACCTGATTGACTTAAATAAAGAAAAGAAAGCAAGCCAGACTTAGCTATTCATGAATATTGCTTATTAAAAACAAGATAGGCACATTTTAAAAACTATTGTGATTTCTTATGGTTCATTACCTCCTTTTCTTCTTCTATGTACCCAACAAGAACCTATGTCTTTGCTACAGTAGGTGAAGAACTATATTAAGTTCCATACAGGAATTCTGATCTCAGAAAAGTGTATCCACGTATAGGGAAGATACATTTATTCACAGATAAGCAAATGATAAGGCACACAGAGCAAAATACAGGTTGAGACGCAGAGTTCAGAGTGAAAGAGATGACATCAATTGGGGGACCAGGGACAGCTTCAGAGAGGTGGTATCACAGCCTTGAAGAATGACAGGATCTGGCTTATGAGAATGGGGATAAAGACCCAGGGTAGGAGGCACACATGGACACAAAAACTCCAGTGGTCCCTGTCACATGGGCTGATTGTTTAGGAATGGGATGATGTCACTGAGGCCTATCCTTGAGGTGCCAGAGCACCAGATCCACCACCTGATAATCACCTGGAGCTAACCAGTGAGGGCGTTCTGAGTCACAGGGCCAAAGCTAGGGAAATAATACAGGAGTTCACCTCAGAATGAAGTGTGAAATTTTAAAGGGAAACTAAAAGCTTCAAAGTGGGACTATAACAAAACATCTGACACCCACAACTGGTAATAACAAAGACGCTTGATTAAAATCAACAGCACCATTGTTGGAAACCCAAGGGGCTGCCAGTTCCCTGCTCACCATGGACGTGGATTCCATTTGGCTGAAAAGAAGAGCTTGTCTCTGTCTGATAGGACTTCAGGTGCGGACCTGAGGGCTGCTGGCTGTGAGGAGGCTGTGTTCTCTGCAATACGGACGAAGGTGCCGGAACTCTCCCGGGGCTGATGTGGTGAGGAGATGGAGCAGAAGGAGCGAACCTGAAAAAACAGTAATAAAAGGCAATATGAGGGGTATAAAAGAACAGGGGCAAAGTCTATGCTCCAGAGCCGATTTTAACACCTCAGTCTGGCTGTACATGAGTGTGACAAGAGGCCCTTCGAAAACTTTTCAGGATCCTTCTCTTTTTCTTTTAACTGCTGAGTTCTTAATTGAGATATTGAGGGAATAAAAGACAACAAAGGAAAACCTAGACACAGTTTGGGTTTGTCAAGCTCCTTAAAATGCATTTCAAACACATTGGGTTTGGTAAAATTCAAAGCACATATTTTGCCAGGCCCTATTTCTGCTAATTTTGAAATCCGCTAACATTTTAGGGGAAATTTGATCCGTATGTTTCTGAATCATTTACACTTAGCTCATAAACATTTTATTTTGTAAGACATATCTGCGCTCCAAGAAGTGTTACAAATCCTTATTATGACCCCTTCTAATCCTATTCTTTTCAAACAATGCGTTTCTTTTGCCAATAATAAATTAACTTAGACCTCAAAGGCCAAGTGTGGCTTGAAAGAAACCCAAACCCAAGAAGACTGCATGGGTTCCGTGCTTGGCAAAGAACATTCCTGAGGGGCAGCAGGAGCACAATGCAGGGTATCTTTTGCAGGACCATGTGCCAATCACAAGACTATTGCTTTCTGTCGGGGGGAGTCTGGCAGTGTTTAAACAAAGCGGAATGGCCAAATAACCTGGGAAAATAAACGGATGCCTGGACACTGATCTGCGTGTAAGGGAGAAATGTCAGGATCTGACTTACTAGATTTAAAGGGACACTGTATTCTTTCTAGCACTGAAGGGCAAGTGTACTTGTGACAACAATGTTAAGGCTGGGCAACATACAAAGAGAAACAAAACCATGCTCAATCTACCAGGCCGCTAGTGGGCAAATACTGAAGAGGAAGGAGTAGAAAGTCTATTGATGTGGTGAAATGAAATGGCAAAATAATTTTCAGGAAAAATCATATGAGCAGTGAATTGTTTAGTCCCGTCCTCTCACAAAGCTATTAAGCTGGGATTTGTTTTACACTAATGCATATAGGTCAGAAACTGTTTATATCATTTATTTCACAGGAACAACTAAATCCCCTTAGCTTGGCTTTTGTATGTAGCCCTACATGATGAAAAGGGAAGACAAGCCAGCCAAGTTAATAAAGTAATTTCAAACATTCTGAGCCACAATATCTAAGATGGCAGCACTTCAACATTTGTGTCACAGCTATGAGGAGGTGCAGGAAAAATTCCGGGGTCTTTTTGTGCTTCCTGCAAGGTGTGTCAGGGCTGTGTAACACAGATGTAGGAATCAACAAGGGGGATCCTGGGCCCGTCAACCTCTCGAAGTCAGGGGAGGCTTAAGCAAACCACATGTGGTAGGATCCCTATTAATTCATTATTTTCATTTTCACTGCGCTGAGAGAGAACAGTAACTGAGTGCCCAGTGCTGGGTAAATATATACTTTTCTAGGTACATCATCTTAATTCGAATTATCCTGAAAAGATGTGCCAAACGGCCCCGAGAGAAAACATGGAAAACAAATCCCGACACTGCCCTGAGAACATCCAGTAAAACACATACGCCAGGATTCCTCATATGGAGGTGATTTTCTGGGAAACGTGTCCTTCATGTGTCTCACGAGTTGCTCTGAGTTGTGGGGGAGGAATGAGGAATGGGGAATCGTGGCCTTTAGGGGCTGAAGGAATCCACACTGTCACCCAATCCTGGAATCTCTTAGACCTTCAAAGGTCTCCAGGGATGCAGACGGGGAGGACAGCAAGGCGGCCCAGACACCATCACACTGCCATCTCTGCTGTCTCCGTTTACCTCCCCACTCCCCTGCTAAGTTTGGAAAAGGAGCAAGAACCTTTGATTGCTCTTTAATTCTATTTCCTCATTTGAGAGGAAAAGATGAAGCACGCTCTAGATAGTTTTCTGGTCTTTTCTTCCAGCAGCTCTGCTGTCTTTTTCCTCCTGCTGAGGACTAAAAGGGTGAGGAGACACACAGACCCATAATTGGAAGTATTTAGAAGGCAGGACCCTGATACAATTCATTCGATGGAAGAGAGCAATTTTGTTTTACAATCCCCCACCCCCACAGCACAATAGATCTGACTCATAAATAGGGATTCCATTAGCCAAGAGTAAAAAGGTGCACAAAGAAAAAGAAGGCAAAAATTCTCAGAATTCTAAAATCTTAATAAACATATATTCTCTATGCTCATTATAAATTATTCTTAATTTGCCATTCACCCAACATCCAAACTCTGACCACACTTCCTTGGCTAACAAACATAATGACACTTAATGAAGGAAAACAATGTGGTAGGCACATATCAAATTTTAGCACTGCTATCTCAAACTCAGGGGAATAAAATGTCATGCTTTCCACCAACTCTACATGTTGCTTTTCACTCATTTTCTGTTATTCAACTAAATGAGATTATATGATACAAATTTCACATAATTTGAAGACATAACGTCACCTCAAATAAAGTATTAATAATGAGTTACATATAAATTATTCTAAGTAAAATAAAATGTACACATAAAATAGGCTTTGATTTGGAAGGAAAGAATACAAAAATTTTAATTTTTATACATCTATAGAAATGAAATGTGAGAAGAAATGATCACAGTTATCTACACATTGGTAGGAACAAGGGAATAAAAATTCATTACTAAAAAGGCCAGGATAAGAAGCGTGTATATAAATAGAACTGATTTTCAAGCACAGCAGTTAGAATCAATTTTGTTACTGTCTAAAAATACTGGGTAATATTTTATTGAAAAATCTCCTACAACCTCTCTATTAATTTAACTTTTATAGACTTGGTTACTTGTTAACCAGCTCATTGTAAGAATAGAAACAGTAAATAAAAATCAGAGATGGGGGACAGAAGAGGAACACTGAAGGTGACAGAGTCTTACTGCTAACAGCAAGGCTCCTGGGAGGATCCAGAAACAATCACTGACAACTTTGAGCAAGAGTGATACCAGAGAAAAGATTAAAAAACCCAAATAAACTCAATAAACTAAGTGCTTTGAGGTCATTCAGTACAAAACCCACAGCTAACAAACAGAAAGCATGCAAAAGTTACTAAGCAACATAAACCCTCCTCACTATGACTAAAAGGGAGGGCTCAGAACCCCATTTTAAGTATCTGCACTTACTTTACAACTCTATATGTGTAGTGTCAATCTCCCCCCTTGGTGGGGTGGTACCTGGGATTGAAATCAGGACTTTGCAGTTGCCAGGCAGGGGCGGTGCCACTGAGCTACATCCCCAGTGGCCCGGTACTGTCAATCTTTGGTATCAAAATGAAAATGAACATGCTCTGAATATTCTACCCTCCAAATAAGTTGAGTGAAGTTTTAAAAAAATCAAAATAAGTTGAATCAATTTTCTTGATGCTAAAATAAACAAAAATTGCAATGCCAAGGATAAGCTACAGTTATTCACAACTTTTTTCTTATGGAATATCTCGTTCTCCAACTACCTCAGGCCGTGGTGGCATCGCTCTGAGCTACAGTGTGTACAAGAACCAAAAGAAAGAGCTTCAGAAATCACTTCTAGGCCCAGCCCCATCCCTCACTGCATGTGGACGTTTCTGAGATTTTATCCACACAGCCTGCTAGCCTCTTCTGAAAGTCTTTTTTTTTTAGGTCCTTGAAATAGACAACTGCTGTGTAAATAGGCACATAACAGACTAGGAAAAAAACAAAACAAAACAAAACCCACTGCTTACCAGAAACATCACACCAAAGCAAACCAGAGAACTGAGTCAAGCATTTCCACTCGGTGGTGGTGAAGTCCGTGTAACCCTCACATGAGCAATGGCTTCCTGAGACAAAGAGAGCGAGTGGGCACGGGGACAGGTTTAAAAGTCTCACAAAGATTCTCTTGGGGAGGGGAGACATAAAAGATTTCTGCAGATATTTGCTTTTATACCCCTTAGAAAATGGTTCCTTGGGAGAATCTCTTGAGCATGCGTCTTCCCCTCAAAGCCCCCCTCCTCTGTTTTCCCTGCCACACCATCCTCTGCTACCATCTCACTCCTCAGCCTTGAAGTGGGATGGGCCAGAATCAAAGTGCTCAGTTTTTCCTGGAAGCGCAGTGCTCCATCCCAGACTGTTACAAAACAGCAGGTCACAACAGGAATGAATACACTGCTAAGGTTCACGTGCACAACACATGCAAATGCTAGGAGGATCAGGCGAATGCAAAGGCAGAAAGATGAACCGGACAGAACTCGACCCACCTGGGCTCTAACTTGAACTAGCTGGATAATTTTGAATAAATTTCCTAACGTCTCCAAGCTTCAATTCCAAGTGCAAAGTAAAGAGATCCAAACTCTTTCCAGAGATTAAAGTGTGAGAAAACCTTTATTTATTCAAGAGATATTTATTGAGCTCTGACTAGGTTTTTGACACTATTCTAAGTTCTAGGAATAGAGCAATGAAGGCCACATTTCTGTCCTTTTAGAATTTATATTTTAGTGAGGGGAGGCAGGCAATGAACTTACTTCAGTAGGAAAGCTATGGGCTAGAAGAAATGAGTGCTACAAAGTATGTTTCTCCATAAAAAAAAGAGGTAAAGGGTTGGGGTGGATTATAAAGAATTTTACACTGGAGATTAGGGAGATCAAAGCATTTAAGGAATGTCTGGCAATTTCAGGTGATCGATACATATTTATGAAATGACTGATCTAAACAGAACTGCTTAAGAGCTGTGTAAGATTGTGGTTCCAGTACTACATTAAAATACCTAGGGTTCTTACAATTTAAAAAGAAAGGATTATTTTTCTGCCTTGACTTCTTAGATAGGGGAACTAAGTCTCAAGGAAAATAAAATATTTGCTCATCTGGCTAATTTTCCATTACCAGGAGCAGTGTCTTGTTTTTAGGTAAGTGTCTAATTTCTTGATACTGTGTTCCTAGATGGAGGGTATTAGGGTTCACAAACTGATAAAGTCATAGAATGGAATT